GCAGATAGTTTGTGTTGAAGTATTGTCAATAATATAATACAAAAAGCGCAAATGAATTATATATTTTTTTTGCCTGTTTTTAAACATTTTTAACAGAAGCACGTTGGGCCTCCTGTAGACTACATGGTGATATCTACCATCTAGCTTAACAAGGTTTCTGGGGAGAAACCCTGTAATATGTACTACCCAGAATCCCCAAAATGTTTCCTCTTTCTTATTCCATATCTAAATTTAATTATTTTTCAATATTGTAAAAAGTTGCCTGAAAACAAAACGTCTTTATAAACAATTTTCAAAGTAAAGAAATTACTATTTACATCCACTGTAATTCAAATATTTGTCAACTTTCACAGATGATATTTCAGAGCTACTTGAATTTTTTTTTTACCTTTAGTAAAAAAAAATATACCAAAGTAACCTGGAGAATTTTTTTTTAAACCAGGGAAAACTTAATGCTATCTATCTATGAACATCTGTAACTGGAATTTGACTATTTGTTCCAGGAAAGCCTTCTTCCAGCACAGGAAGGTTTGACTGCAATCATTAGTGTCATGCTTAACATTTGACATGCCGTCCATTGTTCTCCATAAAAATGTGAACCAGAGAAGAAAAAGGCTGCTGATGCTTCAGGTCTTTCATCCACAGTGACCTGGAGTTACACATTTTCATCAGGTCCTTAAAGGAGGAGTACAGCCTCTTCTTCTTGCTGTCTAAGCCTTTGGTTTTAGTTGTTGACAAAAGAACCAGGGAGTGACCAAACAACTGGTCACCAAACAGCTTCAGGACTCTGCACCGCTGCAGGTTGTCTTCTTCAGTAAAGTATTTAGTCAGCAGAACCAGGACCAGGAGCATGGAGTCTTGGTGTTCAGACATGCTGGACCGAAGAACATCTGGGGTGTTGATCAGAACCAATGCCTTGTCTGTAAAAAGTCCTCTGACGGGCATTCAGTCTGGTTCCTCCTCTGTGCTGAACAGCGGCATCTCCTGGAGCAAGTTTGCGACTGCAGTCCTCTCAGACTGTGTCCAAGCAGGATCCCTCTGATCTCAGGTGCATGAAAAACTAAGGAAACAGACAAGTCCAGAAAATATGTCTGCAAAACATTAATGCAGGGGAAAAGCTTGGACTGGAAAACAATGATTTACAGATTAAAATCCTGAGGCTTTCATCATCAAAGTGAGCAGAATGAAGCATTTAAACTTAGCAAAAAAATTATAAAGAACTATGTCTGTGTTTCTTCTGCTGCTTGGTGGACTTACTGCTGCAGCTGCTGACATTCTGCAAGTCTGGTTCAACTGCAACAAACAAACAAATTATGAAAAATATCTCTTTTAAATTGCAAATTTGAAAAAGAAAAATTTCAGATTATTTTAAAATTAATGAATAATGTTGCTTTTGGTAAAGTTTAACTCAAGTTTCTCAATTTGTTAAAATGTCCCAGCATAAGTGACCAAAATTAATTCCGAGTTAACAAAAAAGATTAGTTATTAGTATTTTTATTTCATAGTCAGAGCTGCATTTTTGACTCATTTGTAAAATGATCAATAGATAAAACAACATTTCACATATTTTCAAAAATAAAATTATCACAATTCATTTTGAAATATTACATTTGAAAATCCAAATGTAAGTATATAGAAATACATTATGTCATGCATTACGTTAATATATTACTATGTTACGTTAATACTATATGTTAATATGTCTTAATCTGTTCTTATAGCTGGCCTTAATTGTTCATTTCACTCACTTGTCTAACTCTGCCCAGTTCCTAATCATCTCTGATCTCATCCACCTGCTGGTTCTCCTTTATATTGGGCTCAGTTCCAGCTATCAGGGCCAGATCAATGTTTAATTGCTGCTTGCCTGTTCCCTGTTAGACGATTCTAGGTTCTGTTTTCAGTTAAGTTTTAGTTAGTCCAAGGTTCTTGTCCCCATTCCAGTGAGGAGATTATTATCTAGCCAGTGTCTTCAGGTGATTTATTCCCTAACCATTGGTGAGAGTGTTTCCTAGTGATTCTGATCTCCTGATTCCGTTCCCTCTCACCCACTGGCCCTGTCTGTAGATAGATTTTATTATTCTGTGCTTTTCTATCTGAGCTTCATGCTCAACGCACAGGACTCTGAACCTGCCTTCACGCTCTGATAGAATCCTGGAACCCGGATCTCTCGGTTCCAGTGTGGATCGGCCCGCTTGTCCTGTGTTTCTCCCTAAAGCAGAGTGTCAGTGATTGGGCGATGCCTCGCACCCCCTCCTGCAGTCGCTGCAGGTCCACAGATCCTCAGCAGCCCACTTCAATTCTGTCTGTTTTATTTTAATAAATGCTTTGAACTTTCTACTGAATGTCTCACCTTGATTACTGAGTCCATATGTTCTGTTTCATGACAGTATAGGAGTAGAATAGGAGTAGAAAACATGAACAAGCCTCAGTATTTTTTTCTCAGGTTTGTCATGTGTTCTAAGGAAAGCCTTTCAGGCTCACAAGCTTTTCATTAATGTCACCATTTATTGCAGACATTCTGTAGTTCCTCAGTAGATTCTGTTCTGAAAAACTAATATTACTTGAAAAAATAAGGTCAGCTAAATCTACAGCTTCAGTGAAAGAAAAACTGCATCCACAGCTGGATTTCTCTGCTGGAATGTTCTCAACCCGGTAATAAAATCAGTCTTTAGGTAAAAAACTTTTTCTCTTGTTTACTTTCATATTTCCTCTGAATAAATTCTGCAAACTCTTTTTCTTTTATTATTATCATGAACCTAAGAACAGTTTCCCTCTGGACCTGATAGCAAATTTTCTCTGTTTTTCCCTACATCAATAGGCTGAGTGTGCTGATGATGGGTTTGAAAAGCCCAATGAGGCACCACCTGGTCTTTGTGGGGCCTCATTGGGCTTGTGGATTCATGACTCCCATCGTGAGACAAAGGAGTTTCCTGCAGCCCCTTATGAAAAAAAAAAACTGATCAAACATTGACAAAGAAACAAGACAATGACTCTGAGCAGGGAAGTGTTTTATTTTGGTACACCTGTTAATTTATGTCTGTTATTTTCTTTTTATTTGGCCTTTATTTTGAAGCAGGTTGACAGAGATGTGGTTGAAAGAACAGAGAAGACATTTAGCAAAGGTCAACAGGCCATGATTGGTACCCATGATGTCAACATCAAGTACTATACAGCCTACTACAATGAAGAGTACAAATATTTGATCCACTGCTGATTTCACAGATTTTCATTTTAATATTTTATATATTTTTATATTTTCTTTTATATTTATGCTCTTCAATCACGAGTGACATAATCAAGATTAAAAATCAAGAAAATCCGAATGTGATTTTTAGTAATTAATTGTATTGCGATACATAAACATTTGAACATATAAAAATAGTAAGAACTCAGGCTCTCACAGGCCTGTTAAATCTTCTTTAAGAATCCCTCCTGTTCTCTGCTATATCTGAATAAAGAAACTTGATCCACTCCATTATTGCCAAAACAAAATGATCAATGTAAGGAGATCAGAGATAAAACAGTTGAGCTGCAAAAGGCTGAGATGGGTTACAGAGAGGATGAGAGGGATGAGACAGGAGATCTTAGCTAACAAACCTTCCCTCATTAAGGTTGGTGAAGATTGGACCAACTGGATGACTCATCATGACAGAAACCTGAAGCACACATCCAGGACAACTAAGGAGTGGCTCCATTAGAGGCTCTAAAGGTCCTGGAGAGGCCTAGGCAATCTCCATACCCGAACACAATGGAAAATCTTTGGAGGGAACTGAGGTCAATATTATCCAATGACAAAAATCTGAAGGATCTGGAGAAGATATGCATTTAGGAGTGGTGCAACATCCCTGCTGCAGTTTATGCAAAACTCAATGACTACAGGAACATTTTGATATCTGGAATTCCAACAGTTTCTGTACCAAATATTAGTTTTTTCTGATGAATTAAATACTTATGTGATAAAATAACATGCAAATGAATCACTTAAAGTCATTAAGTAATTCTATAATAATAAATGTGATTATTATAGGTTTCAGTTTCAGATTCCACAACTCAGTGAACTTCAGTTATGATAATAATAAAGACTTCTGCATGCTTGGCAAACAATAAAATCTGTACTGGATCAAATATGCCCTGATGACCCTTCTGAATGTGGGTCATGCTTTGTTCCTGCACCATCAATATGCTGCTTTAGTCAAGTTAATATGCGGAAACTTCTGGTTTCAAATGGCTTTTTTCTACAGAGACAGAAACAGTTCATAGGAGGCCCGGTTGGTGACGGATCTTTCAACTTTCTATTAGAGAACTTGTATGGTTTTAAATCTGCACCTTTCAAATATAAATGTAATTTCATATAAGGGTTGATTCTTTGAAATACTCTATTGGGGTAAAAATGTCCACTTCTGTACTGTTTGCTAGTCAGTTGCCAGGTCCTTTAATGCTAATTGAAACCATTCAATTTACCAGTTGAGAAGAAAAGCTTCAACCTCTGCATGACTTCAGATTCCCTTTGCTTCCTTAAGGCATCAACTGTGCCCATAAACCTGAACAATGCTAAACCTCATTTTGCTTCCTTTTGAGGACACCATCTCTCAATTCTATCATGGAGCAACTAGGATCTGGAAACACCTGAACTCCATCTTACAGGACCTCAACCATCCGTGCCAAATCATTTCGTGAGAACACAGGAATAATAACTATAAGTAAATATTCATACATGTAGGATTCATATAGGATTTTGCCTTCAGTAAAATGTAGACTTTTATTGTGTTCCACTCTAGGAGTATATTGATGGGTTTTTGTGTGTGTGTGTGTGTGTGTGTGTGTGTGTGTGTGTG